GGGCAATTTTGCAGGGGAACTTTGTGGTTGTTCCAGGGGATACTGAGGGGCCCCCAAGGAAGAGAGGGACCCAGAGTGGTCACTTGGCTGAGCCTGGCTCCGGTCTGGGCACTGCCAGAGGCCTCCAGCCCATAAGCCATTGATGCTGGGGAGTAACCCATGGTGTGCAAATGAACAGAGAGTGGCCCCAGAACCTGGAGCCAAATCCTGTTTCAGAGGCTTGTTCAGCAGAGCCTACTTGGGCCCATATGGAGAGAGAGTCTAGTCTTAGCGCCTATTCCTTCATAGCCCTCCCTTCTGGAAGCCTGCAAAGTGACCAGAACCATGGGCAGGGGAAGTCTCTCCCTCAGAGACATGGATCTCATGAGTAACCCAGGACCCCAGAGAAGGATGGCCAGCAGAGCTGGGTGTTTGTGTGACACAAGCCAGCCTGACGGCCCCAAACAACATCGAGAATGAGCTGTAGGCTCTGAGATACTCACCTTCCCCTAGCCTGGCCCAGAAACCAGGGACCTCGAATGTCAGCCTGACCAGGGCACCTGTCAGACACAGTGGCTGGGCCCAGGTTTTAGGCAGCTACATTTGATGGGCCTAGTGGGAAGCAGCTGAGAACACAGAAAGAACTCTCTGGCTCCCTGCATTAGCATAGAGGAAAACTCTGAGTTGGTGTGGGGCGAGGCGAGGCAACAGCACCCACTCTATCCCATCTCCGACCAGTCTCTCCAGGAAGTGCTGGGAGCCACAGACCCTGAAGAGACTGGGAGGGTGGTTAGGTGGCCCTGAACTTGGGGGTATGCAGTTAATGTCCCCACTGGCTGGCAGGCAGGCTGGAGAGAAGCCTGAGGCCAGAAAAGCTGCAGGGGACATGGCCCCAGAAGACTGGAGAATCAAGAGACAGTCCTCGGGGGCGTGGGCCGGCGAGAGAGGATAAAAGATAAAAGATGGAGCCCGGCACCTGCCCGAGTTGTGCCAGCCAACACTGTCCCTGCCCCGCCACTGGCCCACAGGCCACCAGCTGGCCCATTGTCCCCAGTGAGAGAGCAGACACTGGAGGGTGCTCCTGTGTGGGCAGGGGCTCACTCATGCACGCCTGCCTGGCAGGGACTGCCAGGGGAGAGCCACCCCAGGCTCGGGGGTGAGGAGGGAAGAAGGGGGGTGGCAGAGAGACAGAGCATGGAGACTGAGTGGGAGGCCTGGCCAGAGCCTGGGAGGCCGCCTTCCACCTTCAGAGTGGAGAACAGAGCCCTGCCGTGCTGCAGTCAGGTCCCCTCCTGTGCTGTTGGCAGTGGGCAGTGTGCGGGGCCTGCGAACAGGAGATAAAGAGTTCAGGCAGAGTGTTTTTCTCACTAACTGTGGATTTGTGTATTTGTTCAGCTGGTGGCTCTGATAAGCCCCATTCTGCCAGATAAAAGCAAAGCAGCCATGAGGCAGGGCCTGTGGAGGGGGCGTCCTAATGGGGCCTTCCTCCTTTCTGTCTAGAATCCCAGGGTTACCCCCTCCCCTGGGGAGCCCAGACAGGGAAGGCAGTCACGACATGGGGATGCTCTGTAGCTCCTGTTGCCGGGGGGCTGTCCAGAGCAGGCCCAGACCTCAAGGCAAGGCTCCCCAAAGAGCCCACCACATAAGAAAGCTGGGCCATATCGCGTAGCGCTGTGGGACATCTAGTGTGGTATGGGACGTCTCCTTGCCTCCTCCACGGCTTTCCACCATGGACCCAGTGGCCTGTCTGGGCTGTGCAGCCACTGGCTGGTTCCTGCCAGCCTCCTTCCTCTATCTATCCAAGGTGCATCCCTGAGCTGACAAGGTGCTCAGAGCCCTTCCCCCGTCACGTCCCTGGTATCCTGAGGGGCCTGCTGCCCTATCGGGGAAGGGGTCTACTCTTGCTGAACTAGTTAAGGCCCTGGGCCTAGAGATGGCCTGTGAGGGCTTCAGCCTCCTTTAAGTAGAGCTGCGGTGTCCCCCACCCCTGGCCTCGGCCTTCCTTGCTCCTTTCACTATGTTGGTCAGAGGGGAGAAGAGGAACACCACTTGAGCAGATCAGTGGGGCCCTGGCTGCAGCTGCCCCTGTGCCTCTGAGCCTGGGTCCAGATTTCCCATGTCTCTGCCTTTTGTCCTGAAGCTGAGCTGAACATGTTAAGGGCCGGTGGTGGCGGCATTGTGGGCCTCTGGCTGGGACCGCCAGCCGTAAGATGGCTGCCAAGGTCTAAAATGGCTGCCAGCAGCGCCCGGAACAGCGCCCGGAGGCGCGTGGCAGGGGCCTCGCTTGCACCGGATCCTCGCTCCCGCTTGCTTCTTTACACAGAGCTAATAGTAATAACAGCAATAACGTTTTAGGGATGCGTCCTGGTTTAGAAGGATTTCCTGTCTGTCGCGCTCTCCTGGAGCCCCATTTGTCTCTGCCTCAGTCGCTGGCCCACCTCCATCTCTTTGTCGGGTTCCCTCTAGGCTGTCCCTGGGCTAGGTATGCGCATGCGCATCCACACGTGCATGTGCATGGGCACATGGCTTGCCATCCCTACTTGGCCTTTCACAGTGGGTTGGGGCCGCTCCAATGGGGTGGACACTGAGGGTTCCTCCTTATTCCCTCGACTCCAATGATCCAGGTCTGGAGGGTTAGTGGGGACCAGGTTGGTCCTAGGATGGGTGGGGTTCATAGCAGAGACCCCTGGTTAGCAGAGCCGGGACCATGTGCCCCTCTCTGAGCTGTGCAAGTGGGTCCTGAGGCTGTGCCCTTCCCAAGCCATGATTTAGAACAGCCACAGGACCAGGGTCTAAGGAGGGCCTGGGGCGAGCTGTCTGCTTCACAGGCCCCTTGGCTGCCACTCCTGGACTGGCTGGGGCTCAAATCAGACCCAGAAAGCCAGCCATGGGCCAAGGTGAGAGAGTGAGATAGTGTCAAGAAAGTTCACATTCACACCATGCTATGGCACAGAGAGGTTGCCCTCCCAGGGAACATGGGTGGGCTTCCTCCAGAGTAGAGGGTGCCACTAACAAAGAGATGGCACAGAGTGGGAACCTCTTTTGCCAAACACTACCAAGGGTGAGGGAAAGGGGAGGTATGGAAGGCTACACCCCAAACCAGAGGTGGTGAAGTGTATCCTTCCATATTAAAAGCACTTTTTAGCACTATTAAAAAGAATTCCTTTTTCTTGACTCACTACAATAGGATTTATTTTTTGGAATTAAAAAAAAATCAAAGTTAAGTGGGGATAGGGTGGAGGGAGAGTGGGGCCTGAAACAGTCACCCTTTTTTACCTGTTACGCGAAGGCAGCAGCCTGGAGTGTGGCCAGTGCTTTCAGCCCAAGACGTGGTGAGGCCCACACGCTATAAGCAGGGGTGCCACCTGGGTGGGCTGCATCCCATCTTGCAGCCCCAGAACCCAGCTCTGTTCTGGGATCCCTCATCCCAGTCCTTGGGCTGATGTCACCTTTTGGGAACCTCCTTTATGGTGGGGACCAGCAAGTTGAATCAGGGTGGTAGCAAGACTCAGGAGGCAGGAATGCTCTGTAAAGTCAGGCAAAGCCCTGGCCAATACCAAGGCACGTTTTTCAGATGCCACCCCCATGTGGTCCCCCTGTGAGCAGCTGATTCTTCACCAAATGCCTGCCTTCTTCCTGCCCCACAACCTGCCTGGCCCCCCCGCCACCCTCTCGCCAGCTGTCGTGCCCAAGCAGGCATTCTGGAGGTCCCCGTTGTGCCCCTGGCACACAAAGCTTTGAGGACCGGGGGACGGGGGTGGGGGGCTTTCCCAAGCTCAGCAAAATATTCACACACACACTCCACCCTGCCCCCAGCCCTCTGTGAGCTCCCACTGTACAATGAGCCCTTGTCTCGGGGCTCCCTCTGAGCAGCTGTGGCACCAGGGCATGAGACAGCCCAGACAGGCTGGCACAGAGCGGGCGACAGCGTCAGGGCAAACCTCCCCCCTCTGGGTTGCCAGGCACTGCCTGTGAGCATAAAGGTGAGGTGGGGGAGGCGCAGGCAGACAGGAATGGCTTCAATTAACCAAGTAAGGGAAGGGGATGATCCTCTGGGAGCTGGGGCTGGTGGGGGATGGGGGACCCTTGGGTTCATCCCCACTGTGGAGAGAGATGGTCTCTGGCTTCTCTCCTGGGACCCCCTCCTTGCTCTTGACTCTTGTGGCCAGTGCTTCTTGCCTGAGGGTGACTTTACCCCTCAGGGCAGTGGACAATGTCTTAAGAGAGTTTGGGTTGTCACAGCTGGGGTGCTGCTGTCATCTAGTGGGTGGAGGCCAGGGATGCTGCCTAGATACCTTACAGTGCACAGGATGGTTCCCACTACAGAGAGCAATCCGGCCCAAATGTCAGCAGCGACAAGGCTGAGAAACCTGACTGGGCATGAGCCTGTCTTTCTTTCCCCGCTTTGGGTCTCCCTGAGCCTCCCGGGGCTGGTTTGGGGAAAGGGTGGAGTGAAGGTTTCTGTGGCCGGGGTGGGCCTTCCCTACTCTTGCACCAGGCTGGAGGGGTCGCTACTTGGCTGGTGCTTATGGGGAACTTTGCTCTTGACACATCCTCCCCTTTGTGTCTCTTGCAGAATCCGGACAATCAGATAGTTCAAACCAGCAAGGAGATGCGGACATCAAACCACTGCCCAACGGTCAGTGCTCCCCACCTGCCCAACCGCCCTTGTCCTCCATGCCCCTCTACTTCCTTCCCCCACCCTGGCTGCCCTGGCCACCGTCATTTCTTCCTCACAGGTGGCTACAGGCAGCTGTGCCACTGAGGCTGGGGTGCTTCAGAATGTCACCTCTCATTGAGGGCACTGGCTTAACTGTCCCTTGACTGAGCTTAGCTTGCTGTACTGAGGGGACAGGGGCATACCTAGAGCATGCCCCCTCTTTGGTGTAGACCTGAGGGCCAGCCTGGATCTGGAAACGGGACTTGGGAGGGAGAGTCAGCAGTGGGAAAGGCCTTTGCAAACAGGCAGGAAGCCCCCTTCTGGCCTTGTCTTGACTCACTCATCCTTTCCCCTCTTTAGGGCACTTAAGTTTCCAGGACTGTTTTGTGACATCCGGGGTCTGGAATGTGACGGAGCTGGTGAGAGTATCGCAGAGTAAGTGAGTCCTTCCTTCCAGGCCAGGGATGGGGATTGAAAGTGAGGAGGTGGGACCTCATGGGATGTCCTCCTAATGAAGTCTTAGGGGAGGTGGATGGGGACAGACGGTTTCTGGGACACTATTGGCCCTGTTGGTGCTGGGCTGGGTACAGTAGAGTCTTCCAGAGAGCCCTGTCTCCGGTGTCCATTGCTTTGGAGGAAAAAAAAGTCACAACCAAAGTCTCTTCCCCTGTGACCCCTAGCTGGGAGGAGGTTCCTCAGCAGCCCAGATGGCCCACTTTCTCCTATCTCCTGGCCTCATAGTAAACTCACCCTGGGCTTCTGAGAAACCATTCATGACAATGAAACAGACCCCATCAGGCCTCCCCTGACCTCCAAACCTCATCATCCTCTCATTCTTCCTAGCTCCTGTTGCGACAGCATCAGGGCCCAACTTCTCGCTGGCGGACCTGGAGAGTCCCAGCTACTACAACATCAACCAGGTGACCCTGGGACGGCGGTCCATCACCTCCCCTCCTTCCACCAGGTGAGCCCAGTGGCCCTGCTTTCCCACCTTCTCTCCACTCCCCGCAGGGCCAGGGCTGTCCCAGGTGGCTATAGGCAGCTGTGTCACTGAGGCTGGGGTGCTTCAGAATATCACCTTTCATTGAGGGCACTGGCTCTAACACTTTAGAGTCCACCAGTAGCAGTCACCCACTGAGCTCCTGCTTTGTGCTGTCATGCAGCACCTAGCCCTGGGGATACAAATTCGCACAAGGCATGGCTCTGCCTGGAAGTGGGAGTCTGAGAAAGTCTCTGCCTTGGGGAGGTGACATTTGAGCCCAGACACACAGGAGGCAGGTGGGAGTATGGGGAAAATGCTTCAGGAGAGGAGGGCAGCCTCTGTCCCAGTCCAGCCTGCATAGGCTGGCGGGACCACCCTGCAGAGGGCTTTGGAGGCCAGAAGAAAGCATTTAGACTTCATCCTTGGGTAGTGAGGACCCCTGAGGGGTTTTAAGCAGGGGATGCTGAGGGTGTGTGTTCCAGAAAGCTCTCTCCAGCAGCAGTGTGTGTGGGCAGGACTGATCGCCAGTTAGGAAGCCATTGGAAGGCTGGCGTGGGGGACGGCCTAGAGGGGTAGAGGTGGCATGGAGAGGGAGGGAGATGCTTGGGAGGTGGAGATGTGGGTTCTGGCCAGGTCAAGTCATGCCGGGCAGGGTCCACCCTGTCTTTTTTTAAAACATGGGTGTTTATATTAATTGTGAGATTTTCGGCATTCATTTTGATATTTTTAAAATATTGGACTATATTCTTTATATTGATGACTGAGTTTTGTGTCGTTTTTGTCCCCTTGACATTTTTGTCCCTTCGAGTACCTCATTTACCTCACCCTAGCCCCGGGGGCTGCTGGGAAATCATGGGTGGGATACAGGAGGCAGCTGAGGGTTTTGCTCACTACTCTGATGTGGGCAGCTTGGAGGACCGTGGCATCACAGATTGGGAAGGGGCTTAAGGAAGAGGAGCAGGCTTGGAGCTGATGGCTTGAGGGCCTAGGGCTGTTCCTGGGGTTGAGCATGCAGTGCAGTGAGTGCCCAGAAGTGCTGCTGTCGGCTGGCATCACTCCCCACCCAGAGGGCCATCTGTGCACAGTTGTTTGACCTGGAAACTTGAACACTCCCTGGAGCCCCGGCCCATCCTTGGCCCATCTGACCCTTTCTTCCTTCCCCAGCACCACCAAGCGCCCCAAGTCCATCGATGACAGCGAGATGGAGAGCCCCGTCGATGATGTGTTCTATCCTGGGACAGGCCGTTCCCCAGCAGCTGGTAGCAGCCAGTCCAGCGGGTGGCCCAATGATGTGGATGCAGGTATGGGTGCAGGGGTCCTGACCCAGAGCAAGAGTAACCCAGAGCCTTTTTGTCCCCCTCTCAGTTTACCTGGTGAGCCTCCCACCAGTTCCCCCTATGTCGGGAGACATTACCCACCTATTTTCTTGCCTCCTGATCTTCCAGGGAGGGCAGAGCAGGCTGAAGGAAGGGAGTGGATGCGAGGAAGGGTGCTGTCAGAGTCAGCAGCAGAGACCATGGTGTAGCAGTGGGAAGCAGAGGGGCTGCCAAGTCTCTGGTGCCCCATGGTGGGGTGGCCGCAGCCCCTGCTGGTATTTCTCTAGAGAGGTTGCCCCACCCTGTGGGCCTCATGGTTTAAAGCAGTTTCTCACCCTAGGCACTAATGACATTTGGGGGCTCATCATTCTCTGTAGTGGGGATTATTCTATGCACGGCAGGGGGGTTAGCAGCATCCCTGGCCTCCACACATAAGATGCCAGCAGCAAAACACCCACCCACAGTTTTGATGACCCAAAATACCTCCAAACATTGTCAAACGTCCCCTAGTGAGACAGCATCCTCCCAGATGAGAACCACTCAGGGCCCAGCTTTACAGAGAGAGACTCAGAGTCTAGTGAAGAATGAGCAGAGTCCTTTTGAGACCAGACAGTGAAGTCAACAAAAGGGAGAGAATCCGGAGGATGCCAGCTCGACTCTTCCCAGTCCCTTCTAGGGATCCTCTTCCTGTTGAACCCAACCCTCTTCACCTCCATTCTTGACTAAAAGTGCGGATAGACCTGGAGAGGGCTCTGGAAGAGAGCAACACGTGCGTGTGTGTGTGCATGTGCATGAGCACATGTGTGTGAGGAGGCTGGCTTCAGGAGCCCCCCACTGATGTGCCAGTGGTACAGTCTGTGTGTATCCTCACTGTGGGTGTGACAGGGCCTGGGAGTGCAGACCCATGAGTGTGGACTGTGCATAGGGCACATCTGCTCTGGACAGGTCTGGACCCTGGGCTTCATTCTCCTCCTCTAGAAGATGAGGGTCTGACCTGATGGCACTGAGTCTGATGTTTTCCAGATATGCCCCTATTGAGAAGGACCAAGTGTGCAGGCAGAGGCTGGGATGGAGCAGGGTGGGGCTGGGAGGCGCTCCTGCTTTTCTGCTGCCCCAGAATGAATGCAAACTGCGGCAGCTTCTCCTCCTCCTGGGAGGAAAGGAGGGTTTGCATCCAGGCCTCGGGCTGAGGGAGTAGGCCGGAGACCCTCTAGACCGCCAGTGGAGGCTGGCCTCTGTGAGACGGCTTCCTCGTGTGATTCTCGGGTCTCTCCCAGGGTCTTCTTGTGGCAGGCAGGGACTTGGGCCAGCATGTGCCTCATGCTTTCCTGAGGAGCCTTGAGAGGCGGAGAGAGGAGTTGAGAAGGCCGGGGAGACTCTTGGGCTACATCGTGGGTCCCTGGCCAGGGCCTCAGTAGATGACCCCTTTTGCAAGGACTGCCCATGTGGTGCATAGAGGGCTGTGTCTTTAGCTGGCTCCTGAGGCAAGGGCTCCTGGGCTCCTCTGCCCAGACCTAGTTCCTGAGGAGCCCCCCTCTTCCTGGCTCCTGCTCTCTCCTTTCTTGGCTGTCTGCATTTGTGCCTGCCATTTCTGCATTTCTGCTCCTTCTGGCAGTCCTGCCATGCACGGCCCCCCAACATCCTCCTGCAGCACCCCCTGGCTCCCTTTTCCCCCTACCCCACTGTGTGTTGTTCCCCTAGGCTGTGACAAATCGCCAATTAAGTATCCCAGCTGCAGGACAGGGAACAGCTGGGGAGGCACCATGCGGCCGTAGGGACAGCTGTGCACAGCTGGTAGGATGCTCCCCCACCCCACCATGCCAGCTATCAGGTGGCACACAGCTGCCGCCAGATAACACCTCTGCTGGCGGCTGGGAGTTGGCCCTTCCCCCACCCCTTCCCTCTGCAGTTAAGATAGCTCTTATTTCTCTGTTCTGCCGCCCCTCCACCCCTCATCCAAACTGATGCAATTTGTCCTGGGAGGATGGCAGCTCTAGAGGTCTGCCCTGACTCTATCTTATCCCTCCCAGCCTGGGCACAACCTTAAAGCTCAGCCTAAGATGGGAGATGATCTTTCCAGAAGAACCTGGTCCACCAGGGCCCTGCTTTGTCATTTGGATGCCATGGCCACTGGGCAGAGATGACTTTCTAAAGACAGACCTCAAACAAGGTCTCTGTGCCCTTGTTTCATGCTGAATGCCACCCACACCTCTGGCACCAGGAGCAGGACAGATCCCTGAAATTACCCATCCTATGGTAGCTGAGCTTCTGGGTCCCCTGGCTGGGGGAGTCCTCTACCCTCTGGCTCTATCTCCAGGGCTCAGGTAGGCCTGAGCAGCCTGAGGATTTTCCAGGTCCTCTGGTCCGTGTCCCTGCTCTCTCGTTGGGCATTGTGTCCCTCCTGAGGGTCCATGGCTGTGTGTTCCCTTCCCTAAATGGAGCCCTGGCTTCTTCCCACCAGAACCTCCGGTGGCCCAGGGCACCATAGCATAGACACCAGCCTGTCCCTCCCAAACTCACCCCTTCCCGGCTCTCAAGCTGGTGCCCTAGGGTTCCTCCTGCACTCCTTTCCAGGTATTCGTTCTGTATCCCACCTTTCTTTCCATTACCTGCTTGCCAGGGCACAGGTTGGGCCCCTTGCTCACCCCCTGCCTGGTGCACACCACCCCACATTACTCGGGGGCCTCGTTTTCCTCTCTGGTCAGAAGTACCCCCTGGCTGGCCTACACACAGGGCCTCGGAATCAGGCCTAGAACGAGGCCTAGGACTGGGCAAGGAGCAGCAGGAGGGAACATGGAGGTGGAGGAAGGGGCGGCGGGGAGGGGCTGAGGAGAGAAGGAGCGAGCTGCTGGCTTCCCGCCTTCCCCGCGCCTACCCCAGCCCAGCTAAACCTGCCCTGTGTTGCTGCTTCCTCCCCCCAGGCCCGGCTTCTCTAAAGAAGTCAGGAAAGCTGGACTTCTGCAGTGCCCTCTCCTCTCAGGGCAGCTCCCCGCGCATGGCTTTCACCCACCACCCGCTGCCTGTGCTTGCTGGAGTCAGACCAGGTGAGAAATGGGGGGCCCCGGAGGGGGGCAGTGGGGGAGGTGGCTGAGCATCTATGGGTAGCTGGCCAGGTGAAGGGGCCAGGGCTGACCCTGAGTGACAGCCCCAAGCTCTCTGAGTGGGCCATGGTGCAGCAGTGGGTAGGCATGGAAGCCAGTCCCTGCTTCACGCAGCACTTTGTGGAGGACCAGGCTGGGCCTCTGGGCTGCCCACCTAGCTCCTGAATACCCTCCCACTTCTTCTCACTCCTTGTGTGTGTGGGTGCTGGGTACAACGCAGGCCAGTCCCAAGGCCTCCCCAACTCTGGCCCAGCTCTCCGTTTGTCCTGCTAGCTGTGGGCGGGAAGGCACAGCCTTCTCCCCTGCCCTCCTGTTGGCCCCTCTCTCCCAGCTCCTGCCTGAGCCCAGGCACTTGTTTCCTAGCATGCTCCCAGGTTGGTGTGGGGCCTGGACGGAGAAGAGCACTCCTAAGGAGCCCAGGCTCCTACGTTGTGTCCTGGGGGAAGTAGCTCCCTCTTCTGGGCCTCCCTGCCCCTTTCTGGAAAGGAAGGTCTGGGCCTAGGGATGGTGCCTGGACTCCTCTCCAGGAAAAGGAATTGGCCCACCACTGTGGAGGCTGCTATCTGATTTCAGTGTCTCCAGCTGAGAAGGTGCTTGGGATAAGAACACCTAGATTGTCCGGAGGAGATGGGAGCAGGCAGGAGGTTGTGGGAGCTGAGACCTCAGCCCTGTCACTCCTTTACTTTCTTCCTCCTTCTCTGGGCACCCACCTGGCAGCAAGAGGCCTGGACTTTTTCTGGACATGTCCCTATGTCCGCCTGCCATCTCCTGGGCTCATATGTAGGACACAGAAAATGAGGAGGTTTACCTCCTGGCTTCCTCCTTGGGGCCTCCTGGCTGGGAGCCCAGAGGCAGCCGGTGCTGGGGCAGGGTGTGGTGGCTGCAAGGTGGGGGTGGGGAGCCCAGGCCCTCTGCACAGGCAGCAGGAGGGCGCAGGCCTGGCTCCTCTGGCTCCAACTCAGCTTTTATGAACTCCAGAGAGAAGCCAAGTTTCCTCAGCCCCCTAATGAAACCGAGAGCAAGAGTGAGCTGATTGGAAACAGACAGGAGGGGGAAGAGCTGGGGCCTACTCTGGGTTTGGAGTTGCGTGTGTGAGGACACGTGTGTGAGAGTGATGGGGGCGAGCACATGAGAACACCGCCTGGGTGGCAGCGGCTGGGTGCACACCAGCTCTCGCTCTGGAGATGTTTGTGCATATGTCAGATGGCCATCCCGAGCAGATGCTGGCTGTGTCTTCATCCAGAGCCCCAGGGAACCCTCTGCCTCCTCTTGTCTCCCACTCTCCTATCAGGGCCTGGATTAGGACAGGGCTAGTGGGGCACCCAGTTCAGATGCAGAATGTCAGCAAGTATCAGAAACTCAGTCATCAAGATAAATAATATTTTTATGGAATATGTTTTTTAAATCCAAACTTTTGCAAAAAAAAAGGGTATGATGAGTAAATGTCAATTTTTTATTTTTTTTTTTTGAGACAGAGTCTTACTCTGTCGCCCAGGCTGGGTGCAGTTTTTGTTCACTGCAACCTTTGCCTCCCAAGGTCAAGTGATTCTCCTGCCTCAACCTCCCGAGTAGCTGGGACTATAGGCACACACCACCACACCTAGCTAATTTTTGTATTTTTAGTAGAGACGGGGTTTTACCATGTTGGCCAGAATGGTCTTAATTTCTTGGCCTTGTGATCCGCCTACCTAAACCTCCCAAAGTGCTGGGATTACAGGCATGAACCACTGCGCCCAGCCCTTTTTTTTTTTTTTGGGAGACTGAGTCTTGCTCTTTCGCCAGGTGCCAGGCTGGAGTACAGTGGCGAGATCTCGGCTCACTGCAACCTCCATCTCCCAGGTTCAAGCAATTCTCCTGCCTCAGCCTCCTGAGTAGCTGGACTACAGGCGTGTGATACCAGCCCAGCTAATTTTTTTATTTAGTGGAGACAGGGTTTCACTATGTTGGCCAGGAGGATGGTCTCAATCTCTTGACCTCCTGATCTGCCCGCCTCGGCCTCCCAAAGTGCTGGGATTACAGGCGTGAGCTACTGCGCCTGGCCTTTTTTATCTTTAGAGTTTCCTGCTCTGTCATTTAGGCTAAATGCAGTGGTATGATCATAGCTCACTGCAGCCTAGAACTCCCAGGCTCAAGTGACCCCTCCTGTGTGTCATCCTGGCTAATTATTTTAAACGTTTGTTGTAAAGACGGGGTCTTGCTATGTTTCCCAGGCTGGCCTCCAACTCTTGGATCAAGTGATCCTCCTACTTTAGCCTCCCAAAGCACTGGGATTACAGGCACGAGCCACAGTACCCGGCTATGCCTTTGTTTAAAATTGTTTAAAATGTTGAGGGGCTGGGCACAGTGGCTCATGCTTGTAATCCCTGTGCTTCAGGAGGCCAAGACAGGAAGACTGATTGAGGCCAGGAGTTCAAGGCTGCAGTGAGCAGTGATCACGCCACTGCACTCCAGCCTGGGTGACAGGGCAAGATCTCGTCTTTATAAAAGAAATTTTTAGGCTGGGGGCAGTGGCTCACGCCTGTAATTCCAGCACTTTGGGAGGCCAAGGCAGGCGGATCACTTGAGCCCAGGAGTTTGAGATCAGCCCAGGAAATACGGCAAAATCTCATCTCTAGAAAAAAAATACAAAACTCAGACAGGCGTGGTGGCATGCACCTGTAGTGCCAGCTACTTGGGGGGCTGAGGCAGGAGGATCATGTGAGACCGGGAGGACCACTTGCAGTGATTTGTGTTTGTGCCACTGTATTCCAGCCTGGATAACAGCGAGACCCTGTCTCAAATAATAATAAATATAATTTTAAAAATTCCAATAAAATAAAGACAAGATCCTAACCTGCCTCATCTGCCTCATTCTAATCTCCCAGCACTGGTTGTGATCAGACTTTATTTACAAAAACAAATGGCTGGCCTTTGGATCCCAGTTTGCCGATTTGATTATTATTATTTTTTATACTGCATTAAAACATCACGGATCCTGATGACTGACTTTTCTTTGTTGCCTTAACTTTTGGCTGCCTCGCCTGCTCAGGACCCTCAGCCCTCTCACCGGCAGCTCCCCTCCTCTCTTGTCCCTCCCACTGGCTGCCTCGTTGGCCCTGACGTCCTTTTTTCCCTGCCCACATGCATGCAGGGAGTCCCCGGGCCACAGCGTCAGCCCTGCACTTCCCCTCCACGTCTATCATCCAGCAGTCGAGCCCGTATTTCACGCACCCAACCATCCGCTACCACCACCACCACGGGCAGGACTCACTGAAGGAGTTTGTGCAGTTTGTGTGCTCGGATGGCTCGGGCCAGGCCACCGGACAGGTGAGTCCAGAGGGCCCCAGGAGCCCAGCTACAGCCTCATCTCCACGTCTGTCTGTCTGTCTCAGGGCTCACAGGGAGAAGGCTGGAAAGCCAGAAGCCCAGCTAGGGCTGGAGCAACAGGGAGCCACTAGTACCAAACGCCTTGATTTTCTGGGTCTGGGGGCGGGGGTCTGTGTAGTATGCCAGGGCCTGTCTATCATGGTCCGGAGAGGTGGGGGCAGCATCTGGGCCCCCTTGCTCGGGCTCCTTGCCCTTCCCATGGTCCTTGTTCCCGCAGCAGGAGTGAACTCATCATGATCCAACCTGGGCCTGGGCCCCAACTTTCCAGCGCTCCTCTTAAACCTCCGGGCTGCAAGGATTTGCTAGATTGTAGATCAGGGTTTCCCAATCTCAGCACTGTTGAAATTTGGGGCTGTTTATTCACTATTGTGTGAGACCATCCTGTGCACTGTAGGGTGTTGAGCAATATCTCTGGCTTCCAACTGGTAGATACCAGGAGCACCTCCTTCTCCCCAGTCTTGATAGTAGAGAATGTCTTCAGATTTCAGTGTGCCCAGGAGGGCGAGACCATCCCTGGTGAGGAGCACTATGTTAAGGGAAAGCTCTGATCCACAGAGCTGCCATGGAGACTCCTGTTGGCAGGACTTTTAACAAAGGATTCTCAGGACGGTCCGGTTCTAGAGTGAAACCCTGCTGCTCCTTAGCCCTTGGAAACACACTGCTTCCCTGCTGGAGCTCTTCCCTATCACTGAGGAGCAGAAACTCAGGGTTGCTCAACGAAAGAATCATCCCAGGAGGTGGTGGGCCAGAGATGACTCTTCAGTGGGACATGGTCCCTGGTTGGAACGTGGAGGTTTCTAGACCTCTGAGAAAAGTCCGAAGCCTCAGCAGCATGCTGTGCTAGGAGAAGCCCCAGCTCCTCTGCAGCCAGCCCTCCCAGCCTGAAAGCCTGCTGTGAGAGGTCAGGCAGGGAGGATGCTGAAAGGGCTGTGGTGGGAAAAGGCATCCTGGAAGCCCACACCAGAGGCTGCCTGTTGCCACCAGCCCCGTGCTGCCTTGGTGTGCTCTGGCAGAGTAAGCATTTGCTAAGTGCTGGTGTATTGATTTGTGGTGGGGCCATGGCTCTGCCTCCTCGCTCTGACCATAAAGGAAGCCAGTTTCTTCCTTCCCTCCTGCTCCCCTCCTGTTGCTTTCCTCTGTCTCCTTTCTCCCTTTGCCCTGCGAGGGTTTCTGTTGGCTGACTCTTAGTATACTCGTAGCTTTACCCACCTCTCTGGACAAGCTCTGTCCACTTTTAGGATCGTGGCGGGGAGAGCAGATCTCTGACAGCTGCTGTGTTTCCATCAGAGATGACAGCAGAGTTCATGGGGAGCTACCAGTCTATGCCCAGCCCCCAAGGGGCCTGGAGTCTGGGATATGGGGCAGAGAGGTCTGGAACATTACCTTGGCTGCTTTCTCAGCTACTGAGGCAGCTAGGATTTTGAGTCAAATTGAGGCTTGCCTAGAGACCAGGTTATGCCAAGGAGCCAAACCTAACCACAGAACCCTTGAGAAAGTGGGTCATTTAGTCCCCTGGCCATTCTGAGCCTCTGATCCTGCGGGCTGGGTCCTGAACCTTTCCCTTGATATTTAACTGTTCAAGATTGAGGACTCTGACACAGAGCCATAGTTTTTTTGTTTTGTTTTTTTCAAAGAGGACTCATTTTGCCTAGAAGCTTCTCTTCTTGAGGCAGGCACTTGCTCCAAGCAGACCATGGACAAAACAGTGCAGACAGGAACTGCAAACAGGGACCTTGATTAAGCAGGGAGTGTGGCCCAGCTAGGGAGCAACCTCTCTGAGTTTCCTTGTGTGGCTGGTCATACTGAAGAGAGGAAGAGGGGGCTCAACGGGGAGCCTGCTTGATGGGGACCCACCCCCAGCTTCTGGGAGGAGGCTAGAGACAGCGCTGTGCTATGCAAGAGGCTGATGCACAGCTGCAGAGAGTCAGGGGGCCCAGCTCTGCCACTGATCGGGTAGGCAGGGAGTGGCAGTGCCCAGCTGTGCTTGTACTACAACCACTATTAAGTGGTGCTTCTCAGACTTGGCATGCGCGAGAGTCACCTAGAGCTCTGGCTAATGCACAGATGGCTATGCCCCACCCCCAGAGCATCTGATTCAGCAGGTCTGGGGTGTGGCCTGAGAATTAGGATTTTTCCCAACTTCCTAGGTGATGCTGATGCTGTTTTTAACCTCCTTGAGAATCTGAAGTTACAGATCGGTTTGCAGGAAAATATCTACATAGAATAATTTTAGGCCAGGCAGAAGTGGCTCATGCCTATAATCTAGCACTTCGGGAGGCCAAGGCAGGCAGGTTGCCTGAGCTCAGGAGTTTGAGACCAGCCTGGGCAACACAGTGAAACCCCATGTCTACTAAAATACAAAAAATTAGCTGGATGTGGCTGTATGCGCCTGTAGTCCCAGCTACTTGGGAGGCTGAGGCAGAAGACTCACTTGAACCTGGGAGGCAGAGGTTGTAGTGAGCCAATATCATACCACTTGTACTCCAGTCTGGGCAATGGTGTGAGACTCCGTCTCCAAAAAAAAAAAAAAGAATTTTTATGGCACGTCTGTAGCCCAGCCTTGGACCCTAGAGTAGTAACAGCCAAGGCCATTTGGAGACACTATGTGGAGGAGATGCAGAGGATGCCTGGTTAGCTGTGTTTTAGGGAGAAGGAAGAGACTACCAAGTGAATGCAATGGAGAAGTCACAGGGCCCATTGGGAGAGCGTGAGTCTGGGAGGCAGGATGCCTGGTCCTGGCTCAACCTTGACTACCAATGTCAGAACAGCCAGGCGTGTGTCTTCATTTGTAGGTGAAAGTGAGGAGCTATACCAGCTTCTAGGCTTCTAGCTCCTAACTCATGAGGTTTTAAGGCATTACACAGTCACAAGATCTTGAGGTTTTTAAAACTTCAACTGTATCCCAATCAGAGCTGAGATATGCCAGCCTGGTTGGAAGTTACTCCTAGAAACTGAATGTTGTAAATCAGCAGGTTTCAATGTCCGGCCATATCGGGCAGGGATTATCGTTATTGGGTGGGATTAGCGATTTAGATAATCCTGGGGGAGATAGGCTCTGAAGCTAGAGGAAGGCAGAGGCTGCCCTATGGTTGTTTGGAAGGCCTCCATGTCCTAGCCCCCTGGGAGCCTGAACTCAGGACCCCTGGAAAGGAGGAGTGAGGCTGTGATCAGACGGTCCCACTTCCTCCTCCTAGGCAGGCATGGAGATGAGGGGAGGCATTGCATCATCTTTGTCTGCAGAGTTGCAAAGCCCTGTGCTGTGACCTGCACTTTTACCTGGAACTAAGGGTCCTTTTCCAAAACAACACTCATACAAAAGTTCTTAGCCCAGAACACAGCCACTGCTTGCTTTTGTCTGGGACCACTGAGAGTTGTCACCCTCAGAGTGGGCAGGAATAGGTCAAAGGAACCATTTAGAGGGATAATGTGTCAGACCTAGATGCTGGTCATAGCAGTAAAGAACAGTGGGCAGAAAAGCCAGAGTTCAGAAGGGTGCAGCTGCACAGGCCAGCCTGGGCTTCTGTGACTTTAAAGTGCAGCAGGAGGGACAAATCAATCCCATGTGCTCAGTGGTACTTGAGTGCTCCATGCTTCTGCCGGCTCGTTGGGGAGCCGGCAGGGATGGGGGGTGGCCTGTTTTGAAGGCTCCAGTGAGACCAAGAATATTCTGGAGGAACAGGGCAGAGAAAGATAGGTTGTGATTCAGAGAGGGAACGGCGTTTTTTGAGCAGGCCTTGAAGTGTGTGGGAAATAGTCTTTCAGACAGAGAGCTCTGCAGTGAGCCAGTGTGCAGTCCTGCCTACTCAGCCCGTGTTTTGGAAACCCCAGTCATTTTGGAATGGGAAGTGCAGAAGGGGTGGTAGGGGTGGACCAGTAGAGGCATCCCCCATGGGAGCCTTGAATGCCCAACTGAGGAGATTGGACTTCATGTTGGGTGTAGTTGGGGAAGGTTTCAGAGACTGGAGAAACCTGAGCTGATGTGGATTTGGGAGAGAGGATTGATGAGCCTGCTGGAAAGAATCCTAGCATCCCTGGAGTCAGACAGACATGAGACATGGCTGTGAATTCCAGGCCTGGCCAGTTGCAGCTGGGTGACTTAGGATAACCAATTTAATGGCCCAGAGCCTCAGTTTCCTCAGTTGTGAAATAGGGAGAATAGAGCTTCCTTTGTGGCAAGGCTTCCCAGGGCAGCCCTGTTAATGCTTGGACTGATGGTCCTGTGTTGAGGGGGCCTGTCTTGTGCACCGCAGGATGTCACGCAGCATCCTGGCCTCCACCCAGCCCTTCCAGCTCCTCTGTTGTGACAACCAAAAATGTCTCCAGACATTGCCAGTGTCTCCTCGAGGGGGGCAGAATCACCCCTAGGTGAGAACTGATGCTTTCTGGGGTGGGTCGGTGGTTACACAATAGAACTAAAACACCTGGTCCAGGGCTGGACACTGAGGGTCCTGCGCTGATGAGCACAGTCTCAGCACAGGGGAGCCCCCTACACCAGCTCATTGTCATTGTCCAGCTGAAACCAATGAGGACAGAATGAGGCACTGGCTGGGGACATCAAGGGGATGGGCTCCTTGGGGCTTGCTCGCCAATAGGAGGAGGAGCACACAGGATCCTCTCTTGAGTCTTGTATCTGGATGCCCAGAAGGGCAGAACTCTGTCCCATAGGAAAGGTGCCAGTTTAGGATGAAGAACGCAAGCCAGGCCTTCCTGAGCTTACACTGCAGTGGTCGCCAGGGTCCTGTTGAGAGCAGCAGGAGGTGTGTGCCCACACCTCCAGGGAGGTCCCTCCAAAGAACTACCTGGGAGAGGCGGGGGCGCCTCTGTCTGTCCTTTGGCACCTACATGCCCTGAAGTCAAAAGGCCATGCACGGTCCTAGAGGAGAAAATCCAGTTAGAAGCAAATGAGGGCATAAAGGACAAGGAATGTCTCCTGGTGGCTGAGAATCCATGGCTGCTGAGGGTGTCTGTCATATAGGGAAGTCCTCCTGAAGAACCTTACGGCCACTAGACCTGGCAGCGACGGATTTTCTTCCCTGGCCATTCTTCAGAGAACAGATCAGCACCCTACTGCCCACAGGCAGTGAGGACCCAGGCTTCTGAAGCCGAGGGCGAGCTCCCCAACTTCTGGTGGCCTCCTGAGGACGTGTTGTGGGTGGGTGCTGGCAGGCCTGCTGTCCTTGGTTAGGTGAACCAGCTCAGCCCTATGGCCCTCAGAGGGAAGCAGGCATGTGCTTTGTGGGGGTCAGGGGAGCAGCATGATCGCGCTCATCTTTCCTGCTGTAGGAGACGGTCTACAGGAGCATGAGAGTTCTAGGTGTAGCTGCACGTATTTGCCAAGTGGCACATTTTGGTACCTAAAACATTTTCCCTGAGAAGTAACAAACCACCCGTCGAATATCCCTCCCTTCCTCCCACAACTTCAAAAGAGGACCAAAAAAAAAAAAGAGAAACACCTGAGAGACCAAATAGAGGCCTTACACCCTCACCCATCCTGTGCCCTGGAGGAGAGGACCCAATCCTGCATCTTCCACTGGGAGCGCCCGCTCTCAGGAGCGAGCTGGCGCGGCCTCGCAGGGGAGCGTGTGTCTGTGTGTGATGTGCCTTCATGCGTCACTCTATTTATGTTGTTCGCAGCCCAACGGTAGCGGCCAGGGCAAAGTCCCGGGGTCATTTTTGCTACCGCCGCCGCCTCCAGTGGCCAGACCTGTGCCCCTTCCTATGCCTGATTCCAAATCCACCAGCACTGCCCCAGACGGCGCCGCCTTGACTCCTCCATCACCTTGTAAGTGGACGATGAAACCGAAACCACAACGCCCAGCGTCCCCGGCCCGTCCAAACAGTCTCCACTGCAAAAAGAAAAGCCCTCCCCTTCCCACCACCAAAGGCCCCCAACCCAGAGCACCACGGACAAGAGCAGATCCGAGCCCCCCAACCACAGCCTCCCTCCCGGGCCTCAGTCGCACCAGCCAGCACCCCATGAGCCCCATGCCCGCTGCTCCCAGCCGGGGCCCCTGGCCCAGGCCCCTCTGGGGGGCGGGAGGGAGAGCACAGCGGGGGCACGCAGGCCAGAGGTGCTGGCGGGGGTGGGAGGGGGCGGGGAGGCACAGCCATGCCATCTTCATGCCTGATTGCTGTTTTTTCTTTTTTTGTTTTTTGTTTTTGTTTTTTAATTTTTTTTGTTGTTTCGTTGTTCCCCCCACACCAAGAAAATCAAATGTAACCACAAGGCGACGCCACCACCATCCCCTTTTTGCCTTGCCCCTCACCTCCATCCCCGGGCCCTTGGGCCTCAAAGATGCAGCAGGCCAGCCCCTGACCCCTTTCCCCTCAGTCTCACATTTGGTTTCTCGTTGTTCCTCTTTTTTTTTCCCCCCCCCATCCCTCTTCCCTCCCTTCTCCTCAATTCCTTTCCCAGGTTAGATGTTCCAAGGACGAGGGAGGGCTGTGGGCTTTGGCTTACTTCATCTCTCTCTGTCTCTTTTCTTTTCTTTTTTTTTTCCTTTTAAACCAATGACAAATTTTGTCAAAGGGAAAAGAAGAAAAATCAGTTGAGAGGTCCCAGGTAGACCCGGCGTGAAGGACAGGAGGAGGGGCGGGTGCTGTCTGTGGGCTGGGGTGGGCAGCTTGGGGGGCGGGCAGGCCACAGGCCAGGGCAGTTCGGTGGCGCCGGTAGGGGTGGCCCATCTCACACTACTCTCCGCTCGCTCTGTCTCTTCTTTCTTGTGGTTTGAGTTCTTTTCCCCTCTCCATCCTCTTCATGCCATCTTCCCATCTGCATCCGCCATAAGACATGAAGTCACAGTCATTGGAGGTGGGCAGGGCGGGGGATGGGAGCTGGGCTACAGGGTTTGGGGGCACTTCTGGAGAGAGGTAGGCAGAATCTGGTGAGCACGGAGTCCCTGGGTGTGTCTGGTGTAGGGCAGTGGTGGGCCTCCCAGGTAACCTGTGATACTCCATGCCTCCTCTGGGGGCATCTTCCCTCCTGGGGGTACAGGGCCTGTTCCCTCCAGCAGGGATCCAGCTGGACAACCTGAGAGGAACTCAGGGCTGTTGGGATCATTTGTCTTCAGGCCCCAGGGTGGCTGCCCCCAGGCATCTGAGCTCTGGGGCTCTGCCAGGCCCTCCAGCCTCCTCCCCCTCTGTCGCCTTGGTCCTGGAACCACAGGCCTATTGGACCTGGTGCATCAGTCAGAGGAGGGAATGCCATGGGCCTGAGCCTTGCCACCCCTAGGCCCAAGCCAGGCAGCCAGCTCCTAGGCCCCTCTCTGACCCTGCCCTAGCCAGCTTCACCCTCTGTTGGACACCCTTTGGATTCCCCAAGCCCTCCTGCCCAGGGTGGTAGGAGGTGTAGCATCTAACTAGACTACCCAGGTTGGAGAGTTAGTCTGGCTGGGAAGGCCTTTCTGAAGCATGGTGGGGCCTGCTTCCAAAGCTTCCACCCTCCCCTGGCCCCGTCTCTTCAGTACCTGAGAGAAACTAGAGGGAAAGCAGGGGTACCCACTGAGGATACTTGGGGACCAGGGCTATCCGAAGCCCAGCCCAGTGCCTCACTAGGGGGCGGAACCGGGTCCAAGAGACTTTTGTCTCAGCCTCCAGTGCCTCTCCCTCACCCCAGCCATGAAAAAGGATGCCTGGCTGAGACTGTGGCTTCGGAGTGGGGTTATGTCGGGGGTGTAGTTTGGGTTTCTGGTCATTGAGAGGATGAGGGTGTCCCTCTGTAGTAGGGGGGCAGGCTCTGAGCCTGGCCTCCAGCTCGGATGCCCCTCTGGCCCATCCTTCCCACTGCCAGCCTAAACCCGGGCAGCATGGTCTAACTCAGTCTCTCCCTCTCTCAGCAGCCCCGAGGGGCAGTGCCTAGGTTGGCCCCAAGGCCTGACAGGGTCTCTCCCTCTCTCCCCTGCTCCCCACAGCATTCGCAACGACAGGCGCCTCCTCTGCCAACCGGTTTGTCAGCATCGGACCCCGGGACGGCAACTTTCTGAACATCCCACAGCAGTCTCAGGTAGGAAACCCTGCCCACCACCTGGAGGCAGAGACCAGGGGAGCAGGCAGGGTTGGGGGCATCTTGGTGTTAGGGAAGAGCCTGGATTCTTTGGGGCTAACAGGGAGAGAGGTCTAAGGTGGGGCTGGAGGGCCCAGGCGTTTGCACGCCCAGCTGAGCCTGCCTCCCCAGGCAGCCCCCAGGCTCCCTGGCTAATCAGCTAATTGGATAATTAGCTCTGACAGCCCTGGCCCTGAGGAAGGCAGCCAAGGACCCAAGGCTAGAGGCCCTCTGGGCCAGGCTTGGTGGAAGCAAAGATGGAAGCCTGAGGCCCAGCAGGAGGAGAATAGTCTGCCTCATTGCTTTCACCCGCCCAGGCTGGAAGCCCTGGCCCCCAGCCCTCCCCTTTCCCCTGGCTTTGGGTGGGCTGGGTGATGGGTGGAGGAGGGACAGAGGGCCTGGTGGGCTGTGTGCCCAGAGACTGGCACACTGAGGGCAGGGCAAGCCACTGCCCTAGAGGCTCCTCCCCCAAATCTCCAGGAGTCCTGTTAGGGAGAAGGCCAGCATGCTGGAAAACCCATCCCTGCTCCCATCCCCTGCTGAAACCACCCCCAGTTTTCACAAGGAGACAAGTAAGTCTCTGTCACAAGCAGGAGATAAGACAACTCTTAGCCCTCCAGATGGAGATCCCAGAGCCCAGTGCCCACAGAGCCCGGTGCCTTTGGGGGCCCAGGGAAGACCCATCTCAGGAGGAGGGCAGAGGCAGCTTTAGGGGGTCTGAGGCTTTTACAGCCCAGAGTTTTTAAAAACATTCAAATATCTGTCTTTTGCGCGTTTTACAAAAACACCTCCTTGGAGGTGTCCTCAGCCCTGGGAAATCCACCTCTGTCAAGAGCCCCTGGGGCCACCTCTCATCTCCTGCTTGGCCTCTGCTCTGGGGCCTGAGTTCAGAGAAAGTCGGTGGATGGAAGTTTTGTGTGTAGTTTG